CAGCAACATTTTCACCTTTATTACACAGTTTAGCTCAAAGACACTGACAAGATTTCACGAGAGAGAGATGACAAAAGCATTTTTTCAGGGCATCACATTTTTGTAATGTACTGACTGACTGACAGGTATTTGTTATGACTGCATGGAAATGTCTACAAAGAAAGTAAGATGATCTTTACCTACATCAAAAAAGATAGATAGATACTATTATATACTCATTATTTACAGTGTAAATAAGTAGTGTAGGTAACCTCAACATACATAAATTGCATTCATCTGCTGAAAAGTGTTCATATTATGATCCAAAGAAATGTCTCAAATGTAGCCTGAATTAGTAAATTGATTAGATAATAATCATGAATCAATGTCACCTTTTTCACATGTGAGGTCAAAAGACACAGGGGTATATTATGTTTTGACCAGAACTACTGTGTACTGAATAATACAACAGGACAAAAAGAATCACAGAAGGACCAGACAGGTTCAGTAACTATTTACAGGCCACAGGCTGTAACTGTCATGGAAATCTCAGCACTGTTAAGACCAAAAACAGTAGCTTTTCCCACTGAAATGGCAAAACAAAGGAATGATTAAAGCAACCTAGCTGTGACTGTCATATTCTCTGACCACTGTGAACAGTTTAGACAGATTTTGTTCAGAGATGTTGAAGCATTAATAACTGCTCAAAGTTCAGCTCAAAAAGTTAATCCCACATTTTACACTGTACCACAATACTGCCAATTTATGTTGATGAAATTGCAAAGGTAACATGAAAGCAGACTCTTCATGATGAACAACAAAGTTCTTCACATCTTCACAGCTTCTTCCTTTTTTCTCAGTTTTCAGGTGTTCTGAGATCAGCCAGGGCTCAGGTGATGGATTTGACTGCAGTGTCTGGCAGAGGGAATCTGCCCTGGCAGCAGCCGTCAGACGGGACTGATGCTCCTGAGTTACTAGTCTTCACTGAGGTGCGAAGCATACTACACTGCCAGTGGTGTAGGCTGTGAGATTTTGAGCTCCAGCAGCACTGGAACAACATGAAAATTTTCCGAAGAACAGCCCTCCTGAGCAGGATGTAGACCCAGGGGTCCAGGATCTGGTTCCACGTGGCCATACGTACCACCATCAGCAGACTGGAAGATGCATTCTCATTTTTGTTTCTGGCGCTCAAAATGGTGACCTGGATCTGACAGAGTGGTTATAAAATAACAAAAAGTGGCTGAAAAACTTAAATGACTGCAGATAAAATAAAATTGTATTTAAAGAGGCAACATGTGATTTGGGTTTGTTCAGTAAATGCCTTTATAGACAGACACAGATAAAAAAAAAACAGTTAACAAGGGCATCTCATTGTGATGTGTTGGACAAATTAGAAAACACTAAACTGAACATCCTAATATAATTGATGCAAATATCTAAATATTGAAGAAATATTATAACTTTTCACTGACTCAAAATCTTGCTAGCAATTTAATTGTGACATATGCAAATACTTCACTGTAATAGTAATCAAGAGAGAGGATTTCTGCAGACCCCTCACACCCTGCATACAAACTCTTTGAACTCCTCCCCTATGGGCAGTGCTACAGGTCACTGTACGCCAAGACAACCAGACACAGAGATAGTTTCTTCCCCCGGGCTATTGCACTCTTTGAACAGCTAGCCTATGTTTTGCTTCTATAACGTGTGATTTTACTGTATTTATTATTGTTTTTATTGCTATGCACATTGGGGGGCATTGGACTGGAATCAGTATTTTTGATAATACTTGGCAATAAAGTTTAGGTTTATGCATATGCTTAATGTTTAGTCATTAAGCCACAGAAGAATCTTTAAAGCAGTAATTGTGTTTTCCAGCTCATCTTTTAGGGACTGAAAAATAAATGGAAAAACGTTTACAGGAATAAAATTATTCAGTGGGAAAATCAGTAACGAGACAGTGTTTGCTTGTTTTAATACACCACTTCAATCCCACTCCATCATGTTCTTTCATCAAACAGAGGTTTGTTTTCACTTTCATTATGACAAATTATGTGCAAGGTCACACACACTGCAAAGTTTACTCACAACAACAAGACTGTTTATCCAGATTTTCTGAGAAGTAGTTTAATGTTTCTCAAGCCCCTCTATACTGCATTCACTATACCATGTCTGGTGCAAATCAGTCATCAAAGAAAACAGCGCAGGGGGAAACATGTTTTAAATAACCTAAGCTGCATCTCAAAATCAATTTCTCTGTATCTGACACTGAAAAGCACTGAAAGGTGCACTATTTATAATCCATCAGTGCAACAACACAGGAAAATAATCTTCTTCTTTTAGTTGTTCCTGTTAGGGGTCGCCACAGCGAATCATCTGTTTCCCCCTAACTCTATCCTCGGCATCCTCTACTCCCACACCAGTTAACTTCATGTCCTCTTTTAGCACATCCATAAATCTCCTCTTTGGCCTTCCTCTTGACCCTTTTGCCTCCTTCTACCAATATAACCACTATCCCTCCTCTGCACATGTCCAAACCATCTCAATCTGGCCTCTCTGACCTTGTCCCCAAAACAGCCGACCTGAGCTGTCCCTCTGATGCGCTCATTCCTGATCCTGTCCATCCTGGTTCCTCCTAAAGAGAACCTCAACATCTTCATCTCTGCTACCTCCATCTCTGCCTCTTGTCTTTTCCTCACTGCTACAGTCTCTAACCCATACAGCATAGCTGGTCTCACTACTGTCTTGTACACCTTTCCTTTGATTCTTGCTGCCACTCTTCTGTCACACAACACTCCTGACACCTTTCTCCACCTACTCCAACCTGCCTGCATTCGCCTCTTCACCTCTTTCCTACACTCCCCTTTGCACTGGACTATTGACCCCAAATACTTAAACTCCTGCACCTTCTAACACTGGAAAATAGTATGTGGTTAAAAGTCAGAAAATGTGGCAATGTAAATATAATGACAGATGAATACATATTATTACAGTAAACAGAAATCTATTAATAAATAAGGAGGAGATCCAACTAATTTTCATGATATCAAGAAGCAGGAACTATGCCACTCTAAGCTGATGCAGTATCTTGAAAGAGCTCTTCCAGCAACAGCCTGCATTTTGTGTTTATTTATTTATTTATTTAATGTCAATGTGCAAAGTTAAAAGTGCTAAAGATACACTCTTACCAGTAATGGGCCCCAGCACACACAGGACACCAACATGATGGCCAGGAGCTGGCAGATCATCTCTATATGATAGGATCTGCCTCTGCTACGAAGCTTGTGCCGCAGCCTGCCCTGCAGCAGAGCACAGCTTGTCACAGTATTACATATAATAGACAGCAGCAGGGCCAGTAGCCCCAGCACAGAGAAAAGCAGAGCCAGGAACACATCCAGCCAGTCTTTGGGTTCCTCCATATGGAAGAAGCAAAAACTTTGGGAGCTCTGAACCTTGTAGGGCCTCCACAGCAGCACAGGTAGCACAGCCACCAGAACAGCAAGCAGACAGGTGAGAGCCAGCAGCCTTTTCATATGGCGGGGAGCCAACACTGTGGAGTGGAAGATGGGCTTTGTAACTCCAATGCAGCGCTCCACTGCCATGGCGCTCCCTAGGAATAAGGGGCTCAGGCCAAAGAACACCATGCACACCCCGAAAAGGCTGCACACGATGCGGTGAGGGTCAAACGTCTCCCACCTCCTGTGAGAACTGTATACAAAAATCACCAGGGAGCCATTGATGATATGGCCCAACAAGTCTGTGACCACCAAGTTGCTGGCAAAAAGCAGAAAGGATGCCCTGGACCTGATCCGGGCACGGCTATAGGATTTGACCAGAATAAAGAGAGCGAGGCTGTTGGAGAAGATGCCCACGGTCATGGAGATGGCAGAGGCGGTGACAGACATTTCCTTTTGGTGGCAGGTATTGTTGCTGGGTCTGACATCTGACCTGCAGCCTGCATCAGAGCTCTCATTGGCTGACATGGTGCAAATAAAAACTGAATAAAGGATACACAGAAAGTTGGAGTAAAACTTCTGAGGCTAAAAAATGTTTTTACTAAATTCACCCTGTTGATTCTGGTGACAGAGTTATTTGAAACCAGAACTTTTAGTTTATAATAAAGTGTTTACAACATTTACGTTATGCACATTTAGTTTTGGGTGTGATGTAAACTCACTTCACAATAAGTATTCTAGTGCCAAAACAATTTTCCATCCACAAATAATTATTTTCAGAGCATTAACGCTGGTGCCATGAACACTACATTCATCCTTTATTAAAGTAAAAGTAGAAATACAATAGTTTTAAAAAGTGATACAAATAAAAGTTAAATTAATAAAACAAAACTACACAAGTATTAGTAGTCAAATATAATTAAAGCACCAAAAGCAAAAGGGCTCATCATTCAGAATGAAATATTTCATATTGATGTGTCATATTATTTTTAGATTTGTTTTTATCATTTTAATGTTGCAGCTGATAAAAGGGGAGAAAAGTTTAAGTATTTAGGTTTGTACTTTATTATATATAAGTGCTCATATAAATAAGGATACCTCAAAATTATACCTATGTAGGCTACTGTACAGTACTTGAGTTAATATAGTGATAAAAAAAATAGATTTTTAGATTTTTGGAAGCCTGCTCCACATCTTGTAAACTTTTATTAAATGCATGCGGTAAAGCGTCTTACCTCAGGTTTGGTCTTCTCTCACGCAGCGCTCCATAAGTCAACAGCTCTTCACTCTTAGCTGTTTATGACAGTCAGTAAAACAAAGTGACTTCTTGTCAGCCTGACAATAAGTGTTATTCAACGTCCACAGCCTGCTCTCTTCAATAATTCTGTCGAGGGAACAATCTGTGCCACTTGCTCATTCTGCGCTCAGCTGCTGCAAAGTCTCAGTGAGCGCGTACAGACGAGCTGCAGGCTGTAATGTACAGTAGCAGCGCAAACTCAAACCCACCTTCCAGACTGTAGCCTATACACATTTGTCGCACTCTGCAAATATTTGTATAGGTTTTGTATCACAACGGACATAACTGCATATTTATAGACCTGTTGCCGAAATACAGTGGGGACGCCATCAAAACACGTAATTGCGCATGTTAATTAGCATTATTGTTCCTGTATTAACAAAATCATATGTTCTCTATTTTTGAGGCTCTCCATAAATTGGCATAGGTATAGTTATGTCACAAAATCTCCCTTCTCTGTTTACCCAGCTCTGCTTCATTGCGCGTTGTTGGATCATCCTGCTACTTGTGTTTCCACTGCAGTGACAGGCTATTAACAGCTTCCCATGATGTCCTGGAAATACAGTACACACTGTCTTTGACATGATGAAACCACCTTCTGGTGACGCATGTCAAGGTGGTTTGCGCTGTGCTTAGCAGGGGTAATTTGTACATCCCCAATAAAGATACACCAAAATCAAATTTCACATTAAAGGTGTCAAAAACTAAAAAGGTGCATCATATATTAGGTAAGCTATTATTACGTTGCTAAGAATCCTTTTAATTTAATTCAAATTCATTTTATTTTATTTTATTTTATTGAGGTGTCTGTTTGGTCACCTTATTGAATATTTCTTTTTGGAGCAGCTTTTTAAAATAGTAAAGGAAAGAGAATTATTATTCACGTGTTTAACATTCATTATTCAATAGTACACTTCACTAATAGTGTAAATTGTGATATCATAATATTAGCAGGCTAACTAATTTACTTGGTCTGGGAACTAAAATGTCTTGATTTTTATTTTGATGGCTTGGACAGGGTGCTAGCTTGTGGTTGTTAGCTTGTAGCAATACCCGATTTTCTGATGATACTGTATTGTGCTACAGCTGTACAACTTCCAGTCACTGTGAAAAGCAAACATGATGGAGACAGTTTTGCTTTGCTTCAATGTCACCAGATTGTAATCTATCCCTGTCTTGGTGACAGTGATAGGCCATCTATTTTCTAAATCAAACCTGTCCAGCATGTTTGATCCCTTGGCATCGGCCCTGTCTGTTGACTGTATGAGGTAGAAGCTGCTCAGCAGCTGAGGTGTAACAGAGATGTTTCTACACACTGAATCAACAGACACCCACACCCACTATTCAGGTATCAGTATTTTATCATCAGCAGGCTTCTGCTGATGTCCAAGTAAATGGCATAGATAAAGATGTACACTTTTTTACTCAAGGTTACACTGTGTCATTTTAAACTCCTGAAGCTTTTTTACCTGACTGCTCCACAGAAATCAGAAATCAACTTAAACAATACAGACAGAGAGAGAGCTATGAGTTAAATAAAATAAAAGTCACATAAATAGAAGACAAAGGAGAGCAATAACACAGAAAGGTCAGGATCCAAACAAAAGACCAAATAAATCAAATAAAGCTGCACTCTGAGCCTGAAAGCAAATCATCAACTTTTGTGAGCGCTGAGCAAAGAGCCATGTTAAAAAGAAGTACACATAATTCATCAATAATTGTTCATTTATCAGGGGGTCGCTGGAAGGAAAGGTCTGAGTGCTCATCAAGTGTGTCCACTTCAAAAAAACCATGATGCATTTAACTTACTATTCATAGAAAACACATCTCTGAATTTGGTCATTTCTAATCTTCAGATAAATTAAATAATGAAGTGTTTTATGTGTCGAGAAAGATTTCATCCAACTTTTACAGCTAAATAAATAATTTTTAAAAATCATTGGATTTAGTATAAAGGTATTGTCACAAAGCTAAAAAAAAAGGTAACATTTTGGAGATGAATTTTACAGGACTGTGACAATTACTGTATGTTTCAAATTCTCCACAGTACAGTATGTGTTTCGATAACTTAATGCCTCCTCTTCCTTCTCAGCATTGGTCCTGTGATGATTCTAGAAAGCAGAATATGAATATTCATCAAACAATATTCTAAACAGATGAATTATGTGTTTCTGGCTTTCTGCCCTCCATCTCGCCTCCTTCTTTCAGTGCTACACATTCTTCTGGCTCATCTCATCTCCAGTGGGAGGGCTCACTTTTCATTTTGTCTTTGTTTTGTTTTTGGTTGCTTACACCTGTCCCTAAATTATGTTTTGACGAGTTTCATCTGACTACAGGCTCAGTTTTATCAGATACCGTACTCTCTTCCACCAAATCTGTTTGCACGAGATGCATTTAGTTATAGCACTAGATAAATGTATTGTTTTGCTTTAGCAGGCAGGAAAGTTTGGGCTATCAGATGATGATTCTCCACATGTCACAAAAGGAGTGGACTATTTGCATCCATGCATTTCAGAGCACCAGGGTGCAGTCACTGACCCTTATCACTCCCATAAACTCCAGAGTCAGCATTTTGATTGATTTTGTCTCCTGACCTCAGCCCAGTGATTGCGAAGCTGGAAAAATACTTCAACAAAAAAGTCATGTTGCCAGGCAACTGAGTCCCACAATGTTTGCACACTTCAGGCGGAAAGCAAACGCCACTTTATGTGAGACTCATCACTGTGAACACACTCTGGCAATATGTGTCATATTGAAACTGATTTGAACATATGTCATTTTTTATCTAGATTTGTCTTGTTTTACAGTATTTTGCTGCTGTCACTCATTTCATTGTCTGTATTTCAGACTCAGTGGTTTGGTATATTTCTTAGATTTTACTGTATTTTCCACCATAATTGTTCACATTCATATCAAGCTCCAATCTATCTGAGTGGGGTTTCCTTCATGTAAAAGTTCTTCCTCTACTGAGACTGTGTCATAGAGTATTGTTTTTCCTCTTCTCTCTCTGCTGCTCTTTATTTTGCAAATACAGCAAAGTGAAGAGCAGAGGGTTAGTGTTAGGCCAGAACCAGGGTCAGACAGCAGTAGCCAATGGGAGGACAGTAGCATATCCTAAATGCTTTATGTGTTTCATACATTGTTGTGAAATATTGGAATGCCAGAGTTTCAGGTTGTGTAACTAATCTTTGCTCATGAGCTGCCATTCAACCAACTCCAAGGGTTTCTGTCACATTAATTAGTTTTCTCTGCCAAAATATGTACACACAATCAGGATTATTTTATTATTTTTCTTTTTGTAGTGTTGTCAAAATCCCATCACTTGTCTTTTTTGAAAACATTATTATACCTGATCATGTACAAGTAGGTGTACATAAAAAAAGAAAAGATAAAAGTTATTATATTATTTCCCATTATTTCTGAATGATCACCCCATACATTTAAAAAAGTATTTCAAAATTATATTTAATTCAGTTCAAAATACTTTGTTCTTCAAGTTAAAATGCAAGGAAAGGATTTATGAACAAACCAGAATTACTCCATCAAGGTTGTATTCCTTTGCCAGCCAGTGAAATTCAAGGGAATGGGACAGACGTGAGGTCACTGACTTTGACCTTTAACCTTCAATCACCAAAATCTAATCAGTTTATCTTGGCGTCCTCGTGTACACTCATGCCAAATTTGAAGAAATGCCTTCACGGCGTTCCTGGTATTTTGTGTCCACAAGAATGGGCTGGACAGATGGAAGGACAGACAACTCCGGTCAGAGCTATCGCTTATGAGGAGACATGAAAAAAAAATGCATGCACATGCATAAAATACAAAAAGTGATCATGTAAAGATTATTTTAAAAAGAAAAAGATAGTATAGACAAAGTTTAGGTTCAGGTATCAATCCATAATTATCCACAGCATCACAAATGCACATTACAGTACATTAAAAAGTGCATGAAGTGTGAATGCATTCATCAGCCTTTACACAAAATGAACCAACAGTCTCTTTTACCTTGTCTGTTGCCATGTCATGTGGCTTCTGGGGAAAAAACCCTCAAATTTCTTTTATTTGTATTAAAAACAAACACTTTTAAACACATTCCTAATAGCACTAGCTTAGAGTCATAATGGTCATGTGCAGAGATGTAAACGTAGACGATCAAGTGTATCTTGCATATCCCTACCTAAACACAGGTGTTTTCATGTCATATACTGTAAATAGCATGAATTTTACTTGCAGTAGCAGGTGAGCCTTTCATATAAAAGTACTTTTCATAACTTCTGGACAGGAGCTAAAAGAGTCCAGAAAGGGACAAAAAAGGCAAAAAAAAAAAGTTTTTCTTTCAGATTCACAAGAACTGATTTTTTTCCCTGTAACTGAGTCATTGTAAAAACAGAGCATCTTGTTCTGTCAGTGTGATGATGAAACCTTTTCTAAGTTTTCTTGTGCAGCCTAATGGTCTCTGATTATCTGACATTACACCTTCAAGTGTGGTGTCATACTGAAGCTTCTGTACGCTGTAATAACAGGCAGCGCAGCGGTCAGCCACACTGCAAGCCAAGCACAGTCTAGCACAATCACATTCTTTTGTTGGCTGCATTATGTGGGGCTGCTGTAATAGACTGGCTGACTCAGTAGGCTTCAGAAGGAGACAGGAGCAGGCTAAGCATGATGGGAAAATAACCCATAATGGTCATTTTATGCCAGCAGCAGCAGCCGTGTCTGTTCCTCCTTAGTGTCCCCATCTAACCACAAAACCACACCTGTGCCAAGGTTCACACATATTAACTGTACTTTTCCTCTGTTCTTGCTTGTTTTGTCATTCCCATCATTACTTTTCTCTGTCTATCATCCCAAACTCTGGCACTTTGATTGAACGATTTCCCTTAATTTGGGAAAATGTTACTAGATCAGAGCTGGGAGAGGGAGTATCAAAATGTGTCAGAGCTGTTTATCAAGTCAAGAAAAAAACGCCTGATGAAAGTGGTCAGTACAGAGAACAAGAAAATCCTCAGCAGTTTGGACACAAGTTTAGGCAGCTTCCTCATCAACTCACGTTCCACTTGTGTTCAGACACAACACAGCTTGATGACACTTAATAAGGTCATGACACCTGAGTAGCAAGTGAATTACCTGACAGAAACAACAGAGACATGTGGAGGGCAGCTTTGCATTTAAAATTTGATACCAGCACCATATTTCAAAAAAGATGGGACAGGGGCATGTTTATGACTGTGTTGCTTCACCTTTTCTTTTGACAGCACTGTACAAGCGTTTGGGAAGTGAGGAGACCAAC